GCTGTGAGGCACGGTGGCGGTGGTGTGGTGATCAGGGCTTGTTTTTCCACACAGCCAGTTTTTCCTGAGCCAGTTCGGTGGGAGAGCTGACAAGGAACCGTCATTTAGAGGGACAGTGATTCCACTCAGTGGCAAATCCACCAAAGCACCGCTCAAAAAACAAAACAGAGCATTTATGGGACGCCTCCTGAGAGGTGCGGATTAAAATACCCCTCCACAATGATGTGAGATAGCAATTTTATAAGCTAATGAAATGTTATGACATTCAGTGCTTGAGAAATGTGTGAGGTTTCTGCCACAGCTTCTCTAAAGAAACATTTACCTACCGCTACCAAAAAACCTGTATTATTTCTGTAATGGTTGATCCACCAGTAAGTAGAAGATCTTTAGCCAAAAATAATTTTTAAAATAAAAATCTTATTGTTATCAATGGATTTCATACTGTTTTACTAAAAATGAAAAAACACCAAAGAACATAATTATTTCTTATTAAGATGCAAACTCGATTTATTTCCTTTCATTCCTGAGCAGAAAAGAGAGATTTAGTGGCTAAATGTTCTGTTTGATGCATTTCTGAGTTCTCAGAGAAGCTCAGAGAGTGGAATGATATTTGGGGAGAAAAACGGGAAATGGGTTGAAATCCTGAATAATAGTGAAACGCTTGGATTTAAAGCAAAGAAAGAATATGAGTTGAGGTCTTCTTGATGCTCTCTGAGACAAAGAAAGACACAAAGTATCTCAGTTTGCTGCAGAGAGTCGTGTTTCCAAAATGAGCCTTCAAAGAGGCAGCAGACCAAAGTAAGACAGCAGGAAGAGCTCTGCTGATCAGACATGAACGCTTCAGGATCAGAGTTTTCAGAGTCTCCAGAAGGACGGATGGGAGAAGCTTAAGGGGAGCAGAGAAGCTACTGAGGCCTGCAGACGTCCAGCTGGAGGACTGGAGCTGGTGAGGAGCCGGCCAAAGGAGACTCAGACCCATCACACACAAATTTAACCCAGAGAAAGAACACCTGGACACTCTGTGGGACTAAATAACCACAGAAACTCTCAGAGAGGAGAGAAAAAGTAGCAGAGGAGGAATGGAGGCTGTTATCAAGAACAGAGAGATGAAGTTTAAGGGTTATTCTGAGAAAAAACATAATTTAGATCCTTCATTTAGGAATTTAACCAATAAATAACTAACATTTTCAGCTTTAAATAGCTTTCTGTACTAGAAATCTTCTTGTTTTTCTACGGTGGGCTAATAGATTTGTTAATAACTTGTGTTGTTGTTCATCTGAAGTTGTGGTCACTCATTTTAAAACCTGACCTTGTTTTTATTTTCCTGTGAGGGAATAAATGGATATAAATAATGTGCACAACATGGTTTGTGTTTGGTAGACTTTAAGCCATCTTTTGCTTTGAGTCACATAAAACAAACTCTAGATTAAAGGTGTCGGATGTGTGTCGGTCGGATCGGCAAGCATTCGTTTAAGTCTGAAGCTGAAGGAAAAAGGACAAAAAGAAAGAGGACAGGAGCGGCCATTTTCAATTCAACTCATTATTGCAGTTAAACTGGTACAGAGTAACAGATTACAAAGCTCATGGCACAGTCACTGAAAAAGAGAAATGAGGTGTGTATGTACAACAAGGAGGAAAAAGAAACGTCGGTAACAGTTTGGCTAATAGAAACACCAGGGCTAACATAAAAATGAGGATACAGTCATTTGGGAGATGACTTGATTATACAACAAAGAAAACAAGAAATAAAACATTGCAAAAATAATATTACTTAAAAAATACAATTAGCACTTACACTGACAGATTCAAGCCTAGTGTTTGACCTAGGTCCCAGTCAGAGCAGCTTTTCCTTTTCTCTAAAAGCTCAATTTGAATGGCAAACACTAAAAACATGGCTGAAACTGCCAAGCTCATGATCTGATTTCTTTTTTTTGGGGAAACAGCTGAAGAGATTGTATGCAGACGACCCGCTCCTCTCTATGAGCAACACTCCAATCTTTTCCAAAACCTCTGTTTGCTAATTCGGAATCAGGTACTGATGTTTTTTTATTCTCTTTTTCTAAATCTTTTTCATTCGATCAACACTGATGAAAACAAAAGCACATCGGTCAGAGCCCAGCCACAGAGGTCAATCCCACTCTTTGGAAATGCAGCAAATAATTAGTGGTAATTGGTCTAAATTTAGTCGAAAATGAAGTGGTGAGCTCAAACTCTTTAAATTTTGTAGAGGATTTTATTATTGCAAAAAACAACAAGCTTTTTTTTCCATTTAATTTCTTGGTTTTCTGAACAAACTGGGGTCGGCTGGTTGTGGAGCTAAGACAACAGTTTGACTCCGGAGAAACCCAAACCACGAACACTACCGAGCACCACCCGTCACAACCCAAAGTTGGCACCTGGCTACTGGAACCAGACAAATACAACCTCACTAAAAAAAACAGAAAACAGAACAGAAAGATGTTCACCGTCATGACCACCGTGTCTCAATGGCAAATCTTCACCTCACAGAAAAATGGCTGATGACCTATTTACACCAAGCTCTGCAAAAAATACAACCCAAAATGGTAATGTTCTGAGTCATGGAGAATTCAACAACGATCCCATTCCTCGATGGAACCCGCAGAAATGTCCCCAACAGATATAAACATGACAATGACCAATAGAAAAAAAAAGTGATTTCTGATCCTTTGACCTCTCTACATTTTCAATGTGACACATTTCTTAAACACACACTGAATTTTACGTTTCATCTTTTAACCAAAAAAAAAAAAAGGATCAAAACTAAACGAAAGGGTACAACATATTTCTAACACAAAATAACAACAGTCTACATGTAAAAATATAACTTTTACATACACATTTTAAAATAATGGTAAAGTTTGCCATTTTGTTGCATACAATTTACAAACGTCTGTGTGTCGTCAGCCGTGCTCCCGTCCGTTTTTTGTGTGTTTTTTTGTTTTTAAAAGTCCTGCGCAGGGTGCCCGACTGGTCAGAAGGTGTTGTCATGGCAACAACACGGAACACAAGGAAGTCAGTTGAAGATGTGGAACACCGAGGGGCCTCATCAGTTCAGTCTTCAGACAAACCCCCCCGAGCAGACAACTGATAACCATAAAAACATGAACAGAAACGGCACCCTTGTAATATATCGTATATATTTTTGTACATTTATATATAGATTGATTTATTCAAATAGATTCTTTTCCAGTTTTTCTGTGCCGTCCTGTTGAATGGTTGGGATCTCGAACGCATGGAAATGAGAACGATGCAGTCGGATAGCAAGTTGTGGTGTTTGAGTTCCTTTTTTTTTTCTTTTGTGTTTTTTTGTGTTTTTTTTTTGTTACATTTTCCGCATTTGACATGTAAACCAGAACAGACAAAAAAAGTCATAAGAGAAAAGATTCTTTTTTTTAAAAAACAGAGCAAGAGGAGAGGGGAACAAAAAGAGTTCTACAACGTACGACCACACACTGAGTACTGAAGACTACATGGGCTCACAGACAAGCCGATCAAATATTGATAAAAGGCTGATAAGCTATAATACAAGAAGAGACGCGTTGTTCACCGAGGAAACCAGGTTGGGGTTTGGCATAGGAAGGTGGGGTTGGGGTACGGGGGATTGGGAGGGATCGGGGGGGTGGTGGCTAAGCGTCTGTCCCATTGGCCCGGAGCCAGAACACGCTGTCTACTTACATATAAGTGTACAGTAGATTAAATACAGTTTACTTTTTTTTTAATCCAAAAAATACTTTTTTTTTTTTCCTTTTTAGCTTTTTTTAAATTCCCAGGTCTGGTAAAAAACCTGACTGCATAGAACCTAATGACTAAGAACAGGTTTCCCTAAGCTTGCATCCTATTAAAAGACCAGGTAAATGTCCTCCTCTGGCAACTCGAATGATATGAACTCTAAAAAGGCACATTGGTACACGTGTGAATGTTCAAATTGCATCTGTTGGGGGGGGTGGGGGGGGGGGGGGGGGGGGGGCTGGGGAGAGGGGTCAGGGCTACGGTTCAGGGCTCATAAGGCTAGTGTCAGTACAGACCTGGGACAGATGGAAGGGAAGGGGGGGGGGGGGGGGGGCAAACACAGGTCTGGATTGAGAAGGAGTTCAAAGCGAGGTGAGAGGGGCTTCCAGATTGACACCAGACAACGGGAAACGTTCTCAAAGGCAGTCCGGAGCGTCCTGATTGATGCTGGGGGGGTGGGGGCTGCTTAATCACCCACCTTCTAAGCCTGTCTGCTCTGGCTCCGCTCACATCTTTCCTCAGCTGACCCAGACTGTGTCCACTGCAGGCCGACTGCTGGACCCACTGGACTGGCTTTTGGGCCTGTTCACAGCCCCCTCTCAGTCCACCTCCTTAACAGGATTTCTACCTGTGGAAATGCAGAATTCCCGATAGAACCTGAGTGCCTAAGGTGGGCTAAAGCACTAAAACAACAAAAAACTGATTGCGGTGTCATCCCGAAGCCCCCCCCAGCCCGCCTGGACGCTGGCAGGGGAGAGGTCTGAGGTTTGAATCGGGGAAAATGAACCGACGCAGGAATGCTTTGACCTCTGCTACGCCCCAGACACCCCCTCACTCCCATGATTGTTCCCTGGCATCTTCACCTGGACCCCCGGGACTCTCCAGTGTGCCCCATCCCTCCCCCCCCCGGGCTGTGGCGACCTCCCCAGCCTTTGAGTTGCGCGACTCAGGGAATGTGCTAGAACCTGGAAATGGACTCCCTCCCAGAACTGTTCTCCACCTCAGCTGCTCACCCCCCCCACTGGGGAACTCTGCTCTGTTTCTGGACTTCTCAACGGAGGGGGGGGTCTTAGCTAAGGAGCCCGCCCGCCCATCTCTCCGCCCTGCTATCTCCACGCCTCCCTCCCTCCGCTGTCCCTCTCTGATTGGCTGATTCTTGAGCGGATGGTTGACTTCCTGTAGATATCCTCGGGTCGTTTGGGCACTCATGTCTAAGCGTTTCTTTTTTGTTGTTGTTGTTGTTGTTTTTTTGTTTTTATTTTGGACTACAAAGTCATGAGTTTGTACAAGTCTGCGTGAGGTGTGAGGAGGGTGGACGTAGCTAACAGCATGAAGCACGAACAACAGACGCCACCGTTCAGATTGTTTTACACCGGCACGCTAAAAGATCAACGTTCCGGCCGGAGGAGGAGCGCAGTTTGCCCCCGGTTGTCCCCCCCCCCGCTCCTCTTTTTGACAGCCTGTGGTGGTGAGGCGTTTGAAGGGGCTCCTCCCCTCCCGGCGGTGGTGGGCGGGGCCTCTGGGAGAGGCGGGGCTGGGCAGAGCTTTGCTTCCTGACCTCCTGGTGGAGGCGTTGTGGGCCTTCCCGGGAGCCGGTCCTGCTCTCGGTGGGGGGGCCGTCCACCTTAGCGTGTGTGTGTCTGTCTGACTTTGCATCCAGGAGGGGATCAGGCACGGCTTCATCCACAGTGCGGCGTTAGATTGCCATTCAGTCAGCGGCGCGCTGGGCTGCAGGTGCAGCTGCGCAAAGATGCTTTAAAAAATCTCTTTAAACACTTTGTGATATGTTTTGTTCCATTCCGAGCACCCCTCCCCACCCTGACCTGCCTCCCCGCTCGCGTCAAGTTTCGCTTTCTAAAAAGTCCTTTTTTTTCAATATATTTTCATATATCCGTATATTTTTTTTTTTCAACTTTATATATTCATATAGAACCTTTTTGTTCTTCGGAACTGGGAATGCTGATAAAACGTGTTGTACAAGAAGGAGGTGTTTCTTGGATGAAGACTTTAGTCCGTTTCTGTCACTTGGTATCAAAAGCTGGCGGCTGGGAGCAGCCGTGTGCGGCGTCCCCGCGCCCGGCGCCGCCCTACTCTTCCCGACAGACGGAGGAGACGATGGCACAGACGGGGGTCGGAGGCGACGGATGACAGGAGAGGCAGAGGCTGATCTGATTGGTCAGGCCGAAATTCCAGAGAAACCGATTGGTCGGGCTGAAGCAGACAACGGGTTGGATCGATTGCCGGGCCGTCGTGGAGACGGAGCGCCGTCAGAGGAAGTGGTCACTCATCATCTTGATGAACTCTGGCACCTTGGACCTGGGGAGGGAATGGAAAAAGTGTCGGAAGCGGGGAAGGCAGCCCACATCACAAACACTTAAAGACGAGGAAGAGGAGGGCGGGGGGGGGGGCTCTGGAGCAGCCTGCCGAGCGCTTTACTTTACAAACAAAAGAAAAACTGCAGTTATTTCATCTTTTTTATGGCTCATCATTATCATCAAACAAGGACCATTAAAAGAGGAGTCATGCAAGCATCTCTACTCCAGGAAGTGACAGATCTGTGGTCACACTGAGGAGCTTGTTGACGTTAGCCATGTCATTGGAGGCTACAGCCTGCCTTAAACTACTGGAAGCATCACATTCCTGGCTTCCAGGCAAAGGTGTAAAAGGCAAGAACCGCCTGGTCCTGGGCCTCGCTCGGTTCTCCTCAAACACCTGCAGAAAATGAGCTCCTCTCCACCTTTTTTCTGCGCTCCGCAGTCCAGCATGCAAACACAAAGACGGGACGACGGACAGGAAGCACACGCTCACAGTCACACATTAAAATCACACTTACGGCCAATCTGTTGTTCAAATGTACCCAGAGCAGACAGAAAGTGACTGGTGTTCTCGGGCTCTGCTTTCAGCCGCGTGAACACCACCGGCTCCGTTTTAAAGGGGACGGATGTGCGTCAAAACGTGTGGAAATCAGGAGAATTTCACCTGTGTCACGGCTGAAGCTGTGGGTGTGGGTTTGAACCGTTTGGGTTATGTTCACAGCGGGCTGGTCGCTCTCAGGTTGCGAGAGGACACGTGGAATGTGTGGGAGTGTGTTCCTGATAACACTAAAGTGGACGTCAGTCTTTATGCAAATGCCTCTTCTCAAACCCAGCGACAGCCGGTGACAGCCTGCTCATCTTTTACAGCTGAACATATTCTCACCCTGACAACAGAAACCTCCACTGCCTTTTTTTTTTCTTTTTTTGACGCCCGGGGGGGGTGGGCAAAAATTACGAATTGGCTGAGCAGATAGAAGTTTCTGGTCTGTCTTTTTAAAAAAGAAAAGAAAAAAAAAAGAAAAACCCGATTGTTTGCCTTGAGCTGCAGGTACAACAGCAGATTAGTGTATAAGTGAAATCTTCTGACCATTCAGGGGGAGGAGATGTTGCTGCGTTTTACATTTGTCCCATGGGGTTGGGTCCGTCGCCCATGGCGGCGGCGGCGGCGTGGTGCGCGGCGGCCAGCGAGAGGGGGGTCCCGTCTGACGTCACGGTGACCTTCTCCTCCTCCCGGCGCTTCAGGCAGGCCGCCTTGGGGTTCAGGTTCCGTTCTGGGCAGAGAGAGGGAGTGTCTTTAGTCAACCTGACGAGGCCTGTGTGTGCTTACAGAATCCATTTCCATGTTCAACAGGTGCTCCTGCTGCCCTCTTCTGGAGCTCCGCCAACACTACAGCCGCCTCCATCATATCGATCTAGTTTTCCTTTTTAAATCTGAACTAGCTACAGTGAGGCCTGACTTCTGTGCGTGAACTCCGGCCGTCAGTGGGCGGCCGACTGACCCACCTCGGACTTGCTGCTCCAGGCTGAGGATGACGGCCACGGCCTGGTGCAGGATGAGCAGCTTGGTCTGGGGCTTGTCGCTCTTGAGGTGCAGCTGGACCATCCTGCCCAGCTCCTTGAACGCCTCGTTGATGTCGCGGACGCGCAGGCGCTCCCGGGCGTTGTTGGCCATCCGCCGCTCCCTCTCCCGCTCCATCTTCTGCTCCGGAGACAGGTCCTCGTCGTCATTGTTGCTGGAGAGACAAACCAGGGAGAGCGAAGGTGGGGGGAGAGGGGGGAGGAGTGGAGGATGAAGGCTGGTGCAGCGACTTAAAGTGGCCAAACAACGAGAGGGTTTGGGAAGACGGAACACCGAGGAGGTCACGCACTTTGGTGCCATTTTCCTTTTTCTACCTAATAATTAGATTCGTTTACCCGCTATGAGGAAACTCATTAGACAACAGTAGTGTAGGTTGGAGATTCAGTAATAACGCTGCCCATCGTTGGATTCATTTGTAGCGATGATGGAAGGTCTGGACTCTCTCCTGGTCCCTGAACCACTATTTTTCCATTTCAGGTGAGAAAATAACCCTGACCATTTAGTATTCAGACCTTATTTTGTGGGCAGCAAGTCCAGATCACAGCACCCCCCTCACAAGGCATGATGGGGGTCATCACTCTGAAACCGGGTGAATGTGGGCTTCATTGTTCTAGAGTCTAATCTTTCCACTCCTGAGCAAATCACTTATAAGTTATCTTCTCAAGGCTGCTCAGCCGTTTAGTTCTGGTTCCTTAAGTTCCCTTTGCACTGAGCGTGTTTCACCATCACACACAGCTGTGAATTCTTCCAATTGTTACCATAAGACTATTCCAGATTTTAGATACCTAGTTTAGTTTTAAACACTTCTTTTTGGCTTAATGCCAAAAAAGTGCCCATTCTGAGACGGATTCACATCTTTTCCACCACAAAGTCCTTCTGACATGGCTGTTTAAGAAACAGCCATGTCATAACTGAGAATAACAACTTGGTACCAGCTGAAATATAATGATCCTCATGGGAGGCTTTTACTTATTTGCTTATTAGCGAAATCCAAAAAGTGATGACTTTTGTTTTGGACTGGCAGTGTTACTGGGCTTAGTGCCATCCAGCCATCGGCCTCTGGATGTCTCGCTTTAAGACCTGACAGCTGGTTTCGTAAGAAAGTGAGAAACTACGGAAAGAGAGAATGAAGGCAGATATCCCTCTTTTCTGACATCACATGTTCCCAAGCCCTGTAACGTTGTTTCACCAAACCTTATTAACACTTTTCAAACATTTTGTAACATCAACATCATGGCCGCCTCCATGTAGAAAATCTGGGTTTGGGATCCGAATGTTTCATATTTCAGGCCTCCTCCAGGTTAAAAAGAACCAAGATAAACAGCTTGTTTATCCTTAGAGGGGTGAAGGCTGTTTAGCTGCGTCCGGAGTGGGAAAAACCAACAGTTCTGATTACTCATCCATTTGGAATCCAATGGCGAGTGGGCTGAAGGCGCAGCGGCGCCGTTTGAAAGCCCACTCCTCCGTACCAGCTTCTGTTGGTGCTGACTTTCCCGGCCCCCGGAGGCAGAGACGGCGCTTCGTTGGGGAATGTGGACTGTGGGCTCTACTCTGTTGTGTGAGCAGCAGCTAAAACCAGGCCCAAGGCCGTGGAGAGACCCACCAGGTCAAGGCAGCGCCGCGCGGCCAGCGGGAGTCTCCGGTCCTCTGTGAGCAGCCCAGCCCAGAGAGGCGGGAGAGGCCCGCCGCGCACGGCACAGAAAGGTCTCTGTACTGATGCATTTAGCTGCTTCTCATCACACTTGATCACTTCATCAAAGTCCAGAGGCTGGTTCCTGAAACACTCACCGCTCCTCATCCTCTACTGCATTCAATCCCACTAAAACATGTCTGTAAACTGTGTAAATATACACAGTTACCAAGGATGGAGAATCTTTATCATTTTTTCCATAAATGAGAATGAACGCAGGACGGACTCTGAGCACGGAGGTGTTTCAGGAAAATGGGGTTTCCAGCCCGGCTGAGGGGTTTGATGGAAGCGAACGTCTGACATTTAGGCGGGGTTACCTAGATCTTGACCTCTCAATAGACTTAAGATCCTTGCTGTCCAAGTCCTCCTTCTTGGGGTCCATGGACTTGGGGCCCTCAAGGAGGTTCTCGTCTCCTTCGTCTTCAGACTTGATCTCCGAGCTGACTGAGGAGGTGCTCTGACCCTGAAGGCCTCCAGACAGAGCTGCAGGAGAGAGGAGGAACCACACATCTGAGCAAAGCCCTGGACCACCCGTGTCTTCCCTTTTTCTGTTTGGAGTCTCTTCTAGGAAATGTGGACATTCTTTTTACATATAAAATCTGAGTCTAGTTAATACTGGACCTTGGTAATAATTAGAACTATCAGGGAGAAATCTATCATCTTTAATCTAAAACATCTTTCTTTTCACATGGAAAGACTTCGACAAAAAAAGGAAAGTGGAAGAAGTGCACTGATGACTGTAGACGCTCAACTATGTGTTTTCATTTCATAAGAGGTTTGAAATAAGTGAGACCAGAAATGGCTGCTAATGCCATGTTGACGGGTTGTGCTTAACCACTAGATGTCAGTAAGGGTCACTTGCTCTTGAACTACAGGACAATGTAAAAGCAGACATTTGAGTTTTACCCTTCAAGTCAGGATCTGAGGAAGAACTCCCCAAACATCAAGTAAAGGCCTCTTTTTTGTGCATAGTTATTCCTTTAGTACCAGAGCAGCGTGGGTAAAACAGCTAAAACTGTGGCCAAAGTCATGGAGGCGAAGTCTTCCCTCTTTAATTAAGCAGCCGGTTGTGTAGTGTGTCAACAACACTTGGATACATGTATGAATATAAAAAAGGTTAGATTAAGGCTAGAGGTCCCTGGATAGTGTGACTCCAGCAGCCCCCCCCCCCCACCTCTTATTGCCCTGCCGACATGTTGGGAAGGCAGCACCGGGCCTGGCTGGGCGCAGCTTATTATCCAGTCAACTTCCAAGATGGCGACCTGGGACCCTTTGACTATCTCTCCTCTGCCCAACAGAGCAGCCTTTCTTTGACATCTGTATGGATCCGTCACTGGTACACTGCCAGCATCTCAGTCAACACAAAACACTCAGCCACTCTGTTCCCAAACACACACACACACACTCACACTCACAGCCCTATATACGCAGCCAACTGTCAGCCATTTTGAATCTCTGTCTGCCTGACTGGGAGCATTTTGTGTGCAGCTTTGAGTGACAGCCCGTGTTTGGTTTGTGTGTTTGCATGCGTCCGTCTGCTTCTACACAATCGGCTGTGTGTTTGTGCGCGAATGGCTGCAGAGAAGAAGTGTTAACTGTGAAAAGAAACGTTGTTCCTCTGGACGTCTGACTGATAGCGGGCGGAGGCTGAAAGACGCTGGTGGAGACTAACTTCTCCCTCCTCTTCCCCATCCTGACATTTTCCATTCAGCTTTCTTTCAACGTTCTGGCTGTCTTCACAGCCATCAGCCCGCCCCAGACCAAAACAACAAATGGCAACCTTTAAATCACAAGCCTAAAAAATGGTTAGTTGTAGCTTGTTTCCAGCTCACTTGTCTCTTTGTATCAGTTTGAGGAGAAACTTTGTGTGCTTGTGTTCACTCCAGTGATTTGGTGCCCCTTTGTAATTTTGTGTTTTGGTGTCTACTTTTGTACCTGTAGTAGTTTCATTTAAGTTTAATTTAGATCTGGAGATGTTTTCTGTGTCTTTGTGGTTGACTTTTGTCTGTTTGTAGTAGCCTTGAGACTGTTTAAGGTCATTTTGCTTCTTTGAGTTTCAGACTGTGATGCTAAAGCACAGTAAAATACGAAATGTTGTTCATTCATGCAATGAAAATGGTATAAATTGGGTACATTTTTATTCAGTTTTTGACTTGATTGAAATTAAATTAAAACACAATTTAAGCATAGCCAGCAAAAGGCAAGAGGGTCCCTGGTTCGAGTCCCAAGTGACTGGGGACTCCTCTCCTGACAGTGATCTAAAATCTTTCTATTTTAAGTGTTTGTTTCTAGTTTAAATGTTATGTGAATGCTCTTTTTTTTTTTTTTTACTGAGAAGGAAATGACAGTCTGCGCTTAGAATTCTGCATTAGCTGCAGAGCAAGTTTTAAAATATATTGTTTACAGCTCCCACACACACGACAGAGAGGAGCAGCTTCTCCGCCTTTGGCCAGATTGGGTGACTTCCCTCCCCTCTCCCCTCATTACACACTTGGCTCTGGTTGCCACTGGCCGAACTTTGCTGCCAGAGGCCTCATTTTTAGCCTTTAAAAACCGGCTCTGGGCTAATTTGACGAGCGGTGAGCTCGCAGTCGTTCGGTGTTCTCCAGCACAGGTTTTTTTTTTTTTTTTTTACTGTACTATCAAAATTTTTCGTTTTTTTCCCTAATTTTCTTCCCAAAAACTCTGTTTCTTCCCATGTATCAGTACCTCGTTGTTCCTTCCTAGTTTTATGTTTTTGTGGTCATAAAGGCTCATTTTGTGTTTAGATGAGTTGCACAAGTGCATGCTGGGAGACAGGAAAAGTGTGCTTGAGTTGTGGTGCCCTTCCTGTCTCCCCCCTCAGCCTCAGGGGGCCGTCGGGGGCCTGAGGACACTGCTGACTCGGTTTGATGTGGGGGCTCTTACCGCGGTAGGGGTCGGGCTGGCTGAGGTCCGGCGAGGTGGCCGACTGGACGGGCAGCTGAGGAACCGACACCTGACCGCCCATGGAGTGTCCCCCGCGCAAACTGCCGCCGTCTTCTCTGTGAGAGCCCACCTGCAGATGAGACGGAGGAGAGGCTGAGGACCAGGGGGGGGGGGGGGGGACAGCATACAGACAGTCTGACAGCAGGAGAACAGAGAGACATTTCATCTCACAACCTGCTTATAAAATCACCTGTGGGGGGTTTGATTTTGTGGGGGTTTTGATTTTTTCGGACTTAGAACGCGTGTTTGTTTGCCTCCTTTCTCAGGTGCTGCAGTTCTTCCTTCGTCCTGCTGAGGGCATCCTCCCCCTTTCTACGGCAACCAAGATCTCCATCAGCGCATCGGCCGCTCTCACACACACCCTGTCCTCCACTGGGCCTTCTTATGAACATCACCCATTGTGTGTGTGTGAGTGTGTGTGGGTCCAGGTTCGTTTCTGAATGTCCCACATGTACACTTACAGATTTTGCTTCTTTCTTTTGTTTTTGAGCTAAAGGCCATCGCTATTTTTCCTGTATGTTCGGAGGGAAATACGGTTGGAGCGCATGTCTGTGTGAGTTCTTTGCTGAATCCTATCCATCTGTCTACCACACACTCACACACAAACACACACACACACACACACACATGCAAACGACAGCACAACAACTGACAATTATCTTAATGCCCATATGTTTAATTGTGGGATTTCTAATTCCCAAAGCTCCGAGCAGCTTCCAGCAGGGACTCACTGTTTTGGCACGAGATGGGCTCTCTTTTTGTGTGTGTGTGTGTGTTTGTGAAGTCAGCTTTCTGCAGGCATCCTGTGGTTCAGAATGGGCTCTGGCTCGGCCCCGCCCCACCCCTTCCCTCAGCTTTATTTCGGTGGGTGCACATCAGCAGGACGGGTGACGGATATGAACCATGATGGATCCCAGTTCAGCTAAAAGCTTCTAAAGGTTCTGAACACTAATCACAGCTGAATGGCAGCTGGAAGGCAGCGTGGACACAGCGAGGGGAGTAATAATCAGGCTGAATTACCATTTTATTTCACTCCATCCACTCAGCCTGACATCCAACAGGCGGCCTGTGACGCATCCTCTCAGCTGAGCTTTGCAGAGGAAAGCGAGGCGGCAGTGTTTTTCTGATGGAGCAGACGGCTCCATAGATCCATCCTCTGTTCTCTCTTCCCAGTAAAGCCCCACTTAACACTTTCATCCTGCTATCTTTGAAGGAGTCTGACGGTTTAGTCTAACAGAACGTCCCTTTATGAACCGTTTTCCCAAATTACCCCTAAAATGTCCCTCGCTCCTGGATAGCTTTAATGTGTCTGTGTTTTTTTTGTGTTTTTTTTTTAAAACTGGGAGTAAAGAAAGGACGAAGGAGCCATTCCTCCTGCGTTCTGCGTGCTGCATGCTGATGGGGCGGCTCGTTTTACACTCCAGACTCTTAAACACTGGTTGCCGACATCACTGTCACTTTGGGGACCAACGGAAGCAGAAGCTGCCACTCCAACAGCAAAGTTCAGGTCCTAAAAACGTATTCAGAGCAGAAAAAACCCTTCTGGCCCCGGACGATTTAAAGCAAAAACTAAACAACAAACAATATTAAGCAGATGCATATTAATACCGGCTCTTCTCTCTCCTCTTTTAGCTTATTTTTAGCTAAAGAAATGTGTGCTTATTAATGCTAAAGCCCCCACACAGAGCAATTCCACAGATTCACCACAAATTCACTCCTTACAATCCTACAAAGCTCTACACTGAAAGGCTTATTTGTTATAAATTGACCCCCTTCGTTTCTGGACTATAAACATTTAGCCTCGTCCCATCAGACCAATTAATTTAACCAACATGTCGGATTAAAAAAAGCATTAGCGCTATGCATTTGTGTATGTTACCAGCACATATTTAGTTAAAAGTTTAAAAAGTCCCCGTCTGTGTTGTGGCCACCTGCAGCTTATAGACAGCTGCTGCCTGTATATGTACAGATTTTATCTTTTTGATGTTAGTGGGTGCGGCTTAAATTTAGGTGCACTCAGTAGTCCAAAATATGACAGCAAATGTGAAATGTGATTTTAGACCACTTTTTAAATTTTAGCACCGTTAGTTTGGTTGCTAAAATGGTCAAATTATAGTTTGATTTGAATAAAATATTAAATATCAGAGCATTTACATCAAATGTGGATCAAATCAAATTATCAAAATTTAGCAATTACAGTTATGGTAGTTTAGGAACAAGTAGAAATACATTTTTAAATATAGATACTAACAAGACATTTGCTTTGTTAAACGTTTTAACCCACAGACAATTTCCACTCTGAAAGGAAACCTGAACTAAAACAAAGATGATATAATTTGAAAATTTCATGTATGCTCTTTTTTGGTTTTGTTTGCTTTGTTATGCCAGTAGTGTGAATGAAGTCACTTTGAAACTGGAATCCCCCCCGCCTGACAGCTAATCCAGCTGGTCTCTGACGGGGTCTGGCCACCACGTGCCAGACTCTCCCTCCACTCTGGGCAAATATCACAAAATGTCGACAAGCGTGCGCACAACGGAGTAACCTCCGTGTATTTATCCACGCCTCTCTCTGCTCCTTCAGCCCTCGCCCGCCTCTCCTCTTCTCCTTCAGCCTTTTCTTCCTGCTCTCTGCCTTTCATCACCGCCTGGATTCCCAAATGTAAAATGGCAGCAGAGAGGGAGACAGACAGGGTGGTGTACATTTTTAATGGGGGCCTTTTATATTTTAACAAGCCTTCCTCTTTTGCTTAATTTAGTTCAATGAGGAGAGGAGATGAAGAGACAGATGGAGAAGAAAAATCTAAATAAATTACACATAAACTGATCTGCTGCAATGAGGCACACCCACCTCTGCGGCTCTGACTCTGGACAGCACGCAGCCTTCCAGGGCCGGAGCAAAATGGGGAGACATTTCAGAAATATCTCGTTTTTCCCCCCTAGCAAACTGTTTTTATCCATTGAAACCGTCGTGGTTTAGCTATATGGCTGAAGTCTTTACATTTCTGATGAGCAGTCACAACAAACTGACAGACTGTGGAATTTCTAAGCTTTTGTGAACGCACCACCAAAGACGTTTTTAAAGTTCTTCCATCGTCAGACGGTCTTCCTGACAACAGGAAATAATGAGTTAGCTCTGAAAGGTCACACATCACCAGTGACCCGGCGCCGACCACTGCCCTGAGGGAAGAAAATCAACCAATGAAGACGCAGACGATGTGGACACACCGGCCGAAGCTGTCAACAAACCAGACTGACACGGTCTAACAGCCTTTGAGACAGACCTTTCTGAGACACCTGTTTGAAAAGCAGACTCCCAACAAAAGAAAAAAATCTTACAAAAATAAAAAGGCTTCAAAAGTTGGTCAATAAAAACTCAGGAGCCAACACTTCCAGATTTCCAGTGTGAAAATGCACAGCTTCCTACTCAAACAGAGATTCCTTATCAAGTCCTGACTCTGACATGACAACCAAACTAATCCTCGTCATGTATGGATGCAGTCTGGAGGCCTTTTCTCGTATTTTCTGCCTGATTTTCTTTATTTCATCCGACAAAGCGAGTTGAAATAATAACCGGAGTCTGAGCGAGGAGGAGCTGTCATCCGCAATGCTGTTAATCAGCGGGAAGGGCCTAGTGCAGAAATCTGTGTGTGTGCGGGAGAGATAGCAATGATTACTCAGGAAGATGAGGGGAAAAAAGGGAATTTTGGGGTCAAGAGATGACACACACACACACGCATGTGAGCGCTGAGGAGTTTATCATGCAGTTGTAAACAGTGGGGACAAGTCTGCCTGCGGTGGCCCGTCGGAGGGAAGGAGAGGAAACTCTGTCCATTTACTAACTGTAGATTCCAATATTTCAGCCCACATTAGGTGGATTTCTGCAATTTCAAATTGTCGTTTTCGATTACTGTGGCAGAAAAACAAAACAAGGAAGAAGACAAGAGGGGTAAGATGAGAGGAGATAATGGAGCAGGAAGTCCCTTTTCTCTGGAATCTAACAAACAAAAAGGCACTGGACATTTCAAACCCTTCAGCTTTGAGCTAAAGCCACAGATGGGTTTATTTTTTCCAACGCTAAATTTAGCGTTTTAGTATGCTTAGCAGGGTGAAGTCAGGTGAATCACAGCTCTGCCGAGAATTAGAATTAATTGACAACTCATGTTGAATTAATGCCTCTTAGACAGTGTTTGGTAAAAAACGTTAACCTTATCTAAACAGCGAGCTGCCCTTTTTGAAACACCAAACCAGCTCAAGCAAAACGCTCATCTTTTCCTCAGTTTGAAATGCTCCTGCAGGTTATGATCTAATGAGACTATAAACGAGTTACACTCCCACTGGTTCAGGTCGGGCTTTGGCTTCCATTATTAAACCTGGAGCTGTGGGTTTGTGCTCAGTGGAGCAAAGAAAGGGCCTTTTTACTGAAGCTAAAATGAACAGTATGGTCCAGGACTGTGGATATGTGGTCAGAAACAGCCTCTAGCTGAAACTGATTGGTCTGCTCTTGAAGCTTTTCTGTCAGACTGGTTACCGGAGCGAGTCCGAGTCTACAGAGCTGCCACATAGAGCACCTCAGGGCTCCACTCTGGGTTCTACCTGGTTTTTGCTGTGTATTCCTCCTTTAGGTCTGATAATTCAGCAGTTCAGTGATCTTTCCTTCTACCTTTTACCAACAGCTTACAGCCAGACTGCTCACTTAAACCCTCTGAGCGGCACAATTAGTCCAATAATTGCTTGGGAAGTTTTAAAGAGCGTAACTAAATTTGGACAAACATTTATTCACCCGGTTGTGAAAAACTAAAAGCTCTACTTGAAAAGAAGTACCTGGAAGCTAAAAATAAATAAATAAATCACTCAGCCGTGCATTTAATGTTTTAATTTTTTTTTTATGAGGCTGATTTCTGGGACTGAGAAACACATTTTATATTCAAAGTTGAAATAAACCGGCCTAAACACACAGTGGAACATTCTCCACGCTGCACAGCCTCTCTCTGTGCAGACTGAACCCTTGACAGAAAGCACCTGCTGTAGCTACGTCAACACACACACATACACACACACACACACACTTACACACAGGGCTTAGTGTTGAGACTGGACTTCCAGGGGGGGAAAGTACAGCTACATTTTCCAGTGGCGTGACACACGTATGTGTATTTCTTCATTTTCGGCTCGATAAACAGAGTGACAGGTGGTCGACTCGGCGTCCTATTACTTTTAGGAAGAATCCGAAACAGAACAGGAGAGCAGAGACACGAAGGAGCGTGTCGTGTGGAAAATGTTAGGGCTTTTTTCCATTCACCTTAGGAGCCCGTTCAATCCAAAAGCAACTAAATGAACTCGTCTGACCTAAAACTCGGTTTGAATTTGATACCAACAAACGCATTGGTTTGAGGGCTTGGCGGTGGAAGCTCTGATGCCTCACAGGAAGTGTTTCCATGCCTAGAAAAGGCCTCTACGCTCCGAGTTGGTCCACATGTCAAGTGACAGTGGGCAGGAGCGTGGCTAAAGTTCCAGAGGATTGGAATAAGTTACTTTTAGGGTTTCCACATCTTTTACTAGGTAAATGTTCCCTTTGCAGTTGCAGTCATATTTGAATAATTTGTAGAGTTGAAAAGAGCCAAATATAAATTTACAGGCAGTTTTAAGAATGATGCACCAGATTTACTTCTTTTAATTCCAAATCCTTTTCCAACATTTCATCAACTTTTTGTCTCTTATTTTTTTCTAAAACTGTGGTTACACTTGTATGTGCTGACTGTGAGTCTGTGGTTATGCGAACAAACATCTGACACTCATTTACTCCTGATGTGTTTAGAACACTTCCCATAAATGCATATTACATTCCATTCAAAAGTCCTTAACCTGTTTTCATTCATCTCTAATTTTTACGGCTGCAGCCGAACACCTGGCCTCAGATTTAATCCCGTCCTTAATTCCTGCTGCCAGTCCTTTAATGTTCCAACCAACGTGTTCAACTCTTAAACAGTAGGCTTCAATTTCCCTAATGTACTTTTTGTTTTTTAGCCCTGCCATTCAATATTTCCGTAAATACAAAAAGATGCTACTTATTTAAATGTGAAGAAAAGGCGTCTTTCCACGGAACCGTTTCACATGATCGGGTTATTCGGGTTGTTTGGGTTCACTTCATCTAATTATCTTCATAAACAGGAGGCTGTGCAGGGAAGTGCAAAGATCCTCACCTCCTTCTACTCATAAATATTCAAAACTTGCCACACACTTCCAGCACAGATGGAGAACTCCAATTTCAAAAGCACATAAAAGGACAGAACCTAGCAGCTCTCGGGCTGAAGTCAGACAAACATTTCCACTCCTTATGAGAGCGTAAAGCCACAGGTATGTGGCCGATCCCCCCTAAGAGTGGCCCTGCTCCGTGAACGGCACCCAGGAGTTCCTGCAGAGCTCCCGTTAGGAACCAGCTGCTGCCGTGCTGTTCGGGGTAAACCGGAAGACCCACGCTGTTTGTGGAGTTCCACCGCGGGATTCCTCCCACCTACTGCAGTTCAGCTCAATATAAAGACAAGGAGCTGGCTTGCTTGACCTTTGACCTCTCCTAAGGAGGCTCACGCAGTTTCTTCCACCCCAGCTTGGAGCAAAGTCAGACGGCGTTTAGTTGAATATCTCCAAAAAGGTTTTTGCTGCGGGACCTGCGTGGATGCGTGCATGTTCCGCTGGGTACGTGCACGCTCCGCTGGGTGCGTGCACGCTCCGCTGGGTGCGTGCACGCCTGCGTCTCTCCCTCCGACATCGGCCTGCCACCTGTTTTCTCAGAGTTATGACCTCAGCCTGCAAGCGCCTGTGCCTAACCCTGCCAAACTCCAGACAGCTGTGTGTGTGTGTGTGTGTGTGTGCGTGCAGAGGGATCGAGCCCATCGGGGCTGGGAGATTAAAACAGGAACGACGGAGAAGATGTAATCTGGTAAATATGCGGGAAAATAGGGCCGCTGTGTGTGTGTGAAAAGAGAAAGGAGAGAATGGGACTAAACAAGAGTGAAGCTGGAAAACTGTTTACGCTCACGTTTGGGATGACTTCATTCTTCCTCTCGAACTGTGTGTCTGTTAGTGTGTGTCAGTCCGCCCTGTGGCACACACACACACTCCACCTTTTAAGGCCTATGCCGTTTATTTAGCAGAGAAAAAGGTCCCTAAGTTCTGTCAGTAACCGAACAACCCTCATGTGTCGGGCCAAAGTCAACCAGCTCAGCTCTCTGGATCAGAACATAAAAAGTCTCCTTGTTTCAGCAACAAGGTTTTTTCTTTACAACAAATCCGGCTCAAAGTCCTCTCACCTAAAACACTGAACCGCAACATGAATCTGGTTTGTTTCTGATGGAGCCACTCGCTAAATGGAGGAATCAAAATAAAGCTAAAAAAGCTAAAATCATTCTCCCTGGTTTGGTGATTTCATCCACTCATCTGATTTGTGTTTTCTTTTTTTTGTTTTTTCAAATTTGCCAGACATTTGAACTTTTATGTGAAGTTTGATCAAAGATCTGATTATCAATGGTGACATTTTCCATTTTCAGACTCCGTTAAATTTGTTTTTCCAAATTTGGAATAAGGCTTTATATCTGCATGAGACATCTGTGTATTTTCTAAGGAACGAGAGAAAACAAAAGCATCCAGGGTTAGAGTCTGTTGGAATTTAGGAGAAATCTTGCTGCTTTATCTTTATCTTAACTTTGAGTGTGTGTATGTCATTTAAAAAAATGTCTTTCAGTTTAAAGGGGAATTGCGGAAATTAGGAGAAAATAACTTAGCTGCAGTTAACAATTAAAGTATTCTTCAAAAAGTAAAATGACTTTTTATGGAATCAAAATGTTATTTTATAATGTAAAAAATAAAAAACTGACTGCAACACTTTTTGGAGGAATTTGGATCAGTAGAGCAGCTTCAGATTATTGCAGGTGTTGCATTTTAAATGAATAAGTTACCACATAAATAAAGGAGGATCTGCTGTCTACAAAGCACCAAACAAGATGATAAAAATGTGAAAAAGATACAGAAAGATGTATGAAAGTAAAACAGAATTTGAGGTGGGTGGCAACATACTGCATTCGCTTGAGCAACATTTTAAATAAACAAACTTTTTTTCTTTTGCAGGAGTATATCTATAAAGAAGAAACACTACTTTTCCTCACATTCACTGTGCAGCATAGTGGCAGCTACTTTTACATGAATTCATTTGTCACCTCTGAAAGCTGTTTAAGTTTTATCAGAGAGATCACAAACTTTTCTTTTGTCTTAATGACTAATTCCTACTCCTACTTTAGTAATGTCATTCTACAGTAACAAAGCCCTGACTACCAAAGTCTGGGTAGACGCTACAAACTTCCTGTTAGACGTCTTCTGCAGTTAAATCCCGCGGTGACGTGTACTGTAAAACATCTCCTGCTTCTCCTCAAAGCTTTCGGAGCTTTAGGTTTACTACAAAAACATTTGCTCTGAGTGCCAGAAATTCTCTGGTCGTTTAAGGAGAGAAACTCCTTCCAGTCTAAAAGTGTGCGTTATGAAACTAACACGAGTATGTTATTTCATCAGCTAATTATCCCACCAAAGGAAACCCCCCCCCCACACACACACAGTCACCAGGCGGGACCCTTTCTGCTCCTGTGTGAGCATTTCAGGGAGTTTTTCATCACTAGTTCTTCACTTCCCTTTATTCTCCCCCTCCATCAGTTAAGCTCACACATAAACAGGACCAGTAAGGGACGGGGCTTTTTTCCAGATTAAACAGGGAAGTCAATTGTAAAAATATTAGCCCCAACACCGGGCAAACTTGCAATGTTTTCTTGGGCCTAATTTCCACATCAGTTAATAAAGCTCGGAGCCAAATTTGCGTCTGGGGACATTTAAAGAGCCGAGAAGTGCTTCAAACCATCTCCAGATGAAAAGTAGCCTGGAAGCCTTTCCCTCCAATTGGGCTTGGAATCTAAACACAGCTCCTCCTTCTCTAGCTCCTTTCCCTAAACCTTTAAGAAAATATCCGGCAACAACGTACAATTACATTTGAATAATTCCCTGTTTTGTTCAACCTAAGCTCCATAAAAACAGTAAAATGGGAGTAAAGGAGGTGTGTTTATTCCACTCAGTGAGCCTCTGAGGTCAGACAGAGAGAAGTGGGCACCACAAAGCAAACAGGCAGAGAGCATCACTCGGTGAGCCCCGCTGCTTTCTGCCCCAGTTTGCAGACGGGCCTGAATACAGAAACCAGGGACAAAGAAACAGGTAGAATTCATCCCCGGGTCGGACTTATAGACGTAAACAGCGTGCGTCTGACTGAACATGTGGAGGCGTCTGGATGTGTTTACACTCTCTAACCCCCCCACACCCCCTTATGTCTCACAGCTGTTTGGTTGTTTAACTTGCGGTTTAAAATGGATCTATATTATTACCTACATATACATACAAATCATATATATTAAACCTCATTTTTTTAGAAAGAAAGCAGAAATTCTCAATTCAGTCATTTCTTTTGACCACTTATAAAGAATGAGGCACAAAAACGAGTGTTCCACCTTTTAGTCGCCTTATTTCCATAACATTACGGCTTATTTCACACTCCTTTTTTAGATGTCTTGTACAGTAGCCCACAGCTGCAGTACATTGAATTATGCCCAACTTTTGAGTTGATAAGCAGGAATTCTGACTTTGGTTTGACCCATAGAGGGATAGTCCGATGTTTTATCAGACAGGTTTATGTCAAAGTTCAGTCGGGATCAAAGCATCTCAATTTTCCAACTAAAGTAATGATAAAAAGTGATGACATCAGCTTCTGAACCGGGCCGAAGTGACCTGGAGGACAGCCGGAGGGTTCAGCGTGGACAGCTTATTGACTGGTTCTGTTTGGCTGGAACTGGCGGCTGTTTTTATGACAGTGATCTCATAATGGCGGAGGCCGGGTCCTACCATGAGGGAGTGTCTGTTGGCGGACAGCAGCCCCGTCCCGTAGCCGCTGCCCAGCGCGCCCATGGCTCCGTTGTGCGTGTGCGCCGCCCCGATGAGGCTGTGCATGTCGGCGTGGCCGCCGCTCATCCCCGTGGACGGCCCCACCGCGTGGCTCCGCAGCACGTGGATGGCGTCGTCCAGGCGCTCCAGCCGGTCCTCGATGCGACTTTGCTGTGGGGGGACACGAGAGGATGAGGAGCCGGTTCGGGGAAGAGCCCATACACAGGTTTAGATACACTCTGAGCTAAAGCCGGACACCGGACGCCTTTCTGCTCAGGCTCCATTTGGACCCGCGGCCAAAACCATCAAACCACCAGCTTATGTGAAATACGCAGCTTTCTGACAAAAGCACAAAGCGAAACAAAGGTTTTAGCGAACTGTATGGATTTTCTTTAGGACATGAAAAGACTTTAAGATGTTAAGGAAGACGTAAAGTGTGGAGCTGGACTGAGCTGGACTGAGCTCGGTCCAGGTAAAGATGTCGATACACTTTGCTCGGTGATCGATAACACATGCTTGGCCGAAACTTTTCAGATAAAGAAGAACCTTCTACCAGCTGTAAAGGAAAAGCCACAAATAAAAATAACAATATTCCTATCCATCACATCCACCACAGAGTACAACAAATCATCTGAAAAACAAAGAAAAACACATTTCCAAATTGTGGGTTCATCCAAAAGTACATCAGACAGAATGGGTTTTCGACCTTTTTTGGGGTATTTGTGATAGTTTAGCTAATGTGAAGAATTTAGAGCTGAAACAAAAGCGTATCGACCTCTTTACCATAACGGTTTAAGTTAAGATGTGAGTCCTGGCTCAGAAAAGCAGAATGCTGTTGTCTGTGGAATTTGGTTTGCATGTTATTTTTGGGGGAGCGTACCAGAGAGTGCAGAGGGGCCTCGTAGTTGGGCGACGACGCTCCCTGTCCACCGTTCCTCGACCAGACGGCTGAGCTGGCAGCTAGGAGAGAGCAGAGGGGACGACATCATCAGGACAGGAAGTCAAGAAGAAGACAGAAAGCAGACTGAGGCTAAAACATCAGCAGAGAGCATCAAGTGGGCGCCCGGCTGACTATTCCACCATTTTTCTGCCCACATTCATCCCAAAGCGACACCGGCATCTGCGTGTGCGCTTTGATAGCTGCCTGCAGCCTCTTATCACAGGATGCAACACAGCTTTTTTATGTGTAAAGACGAAACCCGCTCGATGAGTGTTGCCAAACGCCAGACAAAACGCCTTCACTCACGAGGACACTCGAGGTGCTCGGACATAAAAGACGGAGAGGTGAGGAAGACAGGAAGAAAAAAAACACAAACAAAACGAAGCCGTATCTCATCGCAAATATGCTAATAGCAGCTTTTGTCCGGGAAAGGTACAAGTGGTTGATTAGCATGGGCCCTCTGCAGAGTAAACAAGCTTTTTGTCTGCTCTGCTCGGCTTTTGTGCCGCGCGCCGCCGGAACGGGCTCCGTATGAATGGACAGGTCTCATTAGCTGGTAGGCAGAGGGGAGACAGCGACTTATGTGAATTTCCATTAATATGAGTGGAGTCCTTTTAACAGACTGGAGGTGAGTAATAAGAAGGGGACAAAGGAAAGGGGAATACTCAGAGGCAGTTTGCAAGCAAAGCAAACCAGCCTCCGTCTGTTCTCAGGACCGCGTTTCACAAAGAAAAACTTTTAAGGCATTTAGGATAAGCTCAATCTAAGGCTGTTGGCTTGTTTATTGTGAGCTTGCGTTGATTTAAATAACAATAAGCCCACAACACTTTGTCTAAAGCCATAACTAATATATTTCTCCAGATGTGGTGACACCAAAAGTCAGTGGATGGATGGATTAAGCTCATCGGGCAAAAACCTAACTCTCAAAACCACAAAAATCTTGTTTGAAAGTTGTTTTCCAAGCATCTCTATCAGAAATCAAATGTTCTTAAGGCCAGCCTGCATCATGAGATCAGTGGGAAGATTTTAAAGTCACACTGGCTTGCTCTTGGTTTTTGATATCGAGAAGTTTTCCTCTATTTTCTGGCTTTTTATGGGCATTTAAAGGTTTCTCCTGTCCTGCTCTCTTCCCCCCTTATTCTGTTTTCTCTCCTTCCCTTTCCTCTTCCTCTCCTGTTGACCTCTTCTCTCCTCTTGCCTCCAGCTGCCCTCATCGCTGATCTCTTCCCACTAACTCTGATCTCATCTCATTAGTACATGTTTCTTTTTCCCCCCATTGTCTTCCCTTTTTTGTCTCAAAGTCCTTTCTCTCCCCCTCTCCTTTATTCACATTACGTGCTCATTTCCATATGCTAATTAATGAATAATCACCTGGGTACATTCATGTGCAAATACAAATATAAGTATTAAACGGCAGGGTAAATTATTCTGAGTCCAATGCTGTAAAACACCCTCACAGAATTAGCCTTGGATATCAATTTGCATGTAGTTTGCTCTAATAGGCTTCGTTTCTAATTTGTAAAAAGTGGAGTAACTCTGACACAATGATAAACACCAATTATGGTTTAGCAGGCAATATCCCAGGCAGCTATAATGATGAGGAGGAGGAGGAAGAGGGGAGAGGGCCTGTGTTTGCAGAGCCGGTAGGTTTGGGAACGATTTGTCGGAGTGGTGCTCGTAATTAAAGCTATCAGTCACGAGGCGCGGCGCAGAAATATCAAACGCTGTGCATAGCAGCCACAATTAGAGACAAAGTCGACACAACTATTATTAGTAAAAGTCATTTTTCACTTTAAGGAGCGGCTCCAGTTTACAGCATCCGCAGAGGGGATGAGTAATAGGTAGAAAAGGAGGAGGAGGAGAAGGGCCAAAGGGTTATTTCCTCAATGTTTTTCTTTTCCACAGAGCAGTTTTACTTCACCTCTGAGTTTAACTCACTATGCAATGTAAATAATATTTTTTTTAATCGTATTTACACTCTTCTTCTCAGAGCTGTAGAAGTCAAGTCGAGTCTCAGGTCATCTGAAAAAAAAAAGTCCAGTCTCAAGCCACTTAAAAGACTTAAAATAATCTTTAAAAAGGTAGTCAGATGATTTTTCATTCAAATCACTTCTTTGCCAAACAACCTAGTTTTTTTAAAGTCACGCTGTTTTCTCTTTTAGGTCCTCTGGTCCAACAGGGGTTGTATTTCTCTTTGCTGTGCCCACATTCAGACTCTCAAACCCTGTGGGCAGAGGCTGACCGTCCAGTGGCCCATGACCTGGGTTGAAGGTTAGTTTAAAAAATCACTGTCACATGGACAGATTTGATTTTTTATTAGAGAAATCCACACATGTAGCAGCTTCCTGCTGGGTTGTGCTGGTGGGTTTATTTTTGCTCCAAAGAGTGAATAAAAAATCTAATTTTATGGGCTTGTTTGACCAACTGCAGTCCATCACTTCCTGTAATGTGATGGTGGTGATGGGACTGGGTGTGTCATGGAGGGCAGAGCCGGCCAATCAGCTTCTTTTATTCATAGGTTTACCAGAAATTTGGGTGCGTATTGAACAGAACATTTCATTTAAACATTTTTTTATATACCTGCCATGACCAGATTTTTCCCAGTTCTGTCTATTTCCTTAGAATATTTTAAAGGAAGTTCTACATGATTTTATGGATTGTGTTGGGGAGGATCAGTCAATTCTGTTGGCTTCAGGTGGTTCAAAATGCTGCCGCTGGAAAACATGAGCACATGTCCCTGTTCCTGTCCATTTTGGAATGTATTTGAAGATGTTGGCCTTTATATTTGCATGATGGACTGCATCTATATAGCCCAGGTAGAGCATTAGATCCTCCAGTCCCAGCATCTCCGAGGTCCAGACTCAAACCCCAAAGTGACCGTTTCTGTAGTTGGTCCCTTTCTCTGGACTGGGGATTTTCCAGTAGAGAACTTATCGTAATATTGATGAGTCGCTTTTGGATAAAAGCATCTGCTAAATGCAGAAACAGTTCAAATAAGCACAGCTCAGCCTGTTGCGTCAGATAAAACCATTGCTGGCCTTCAATTTGTGATGAAATGGGCATTAGATTTATATTTTTTGTTTTTCTGGGTTTATCTAGAGGATTTTCATATTTTTTTCTTTAGAGATTTGATCAACTTTTTAAAAATGTGCTAGAATTAGACCTAAACATTAACATTATTAATCTCCAACAAAAACGGTGGTAGATTTCCCTGCCAGTTACTTCATCAAAAGGACTGTCTACAAGGCAAACATGGCCGATATCACAGGATCTAGAGCTGAGGAATAGCAGCTGTTTTAGTACATTTAGATCTCCATTGAAATCATACTGACTCAAGAGGTTCCAGTTAAATGGAATGGAAATAAATGGAATCATTTCCACCAAGAGCAAATCAACCTGTAGGGAGTTCAAATAGACGTTTGAGTCCTCTTAAATAAGTCCAGAGTCAAATCTCAAGTCAGTCAAGTAAAAGACTGTCTCAGGTCCAAAGTGGGGTCATTTTAGAAAAGGTCACGTCTTGTTCCGGGTGAGTTGAAACAAGTCCCAGTCCACATTTCTGTGTTGAGGTGTACGCCCAGGCTCTGCCTCCTGGTTCTGGGTTTCTACCGGGTGCGTCCCCTGCTCACCTGTGAGCGAGGGTGGGGAGCCCACCGGGGTGGAGGGGTTGGACGAGAAGCTGTTGTTCGTGTGATCTGGAGAGTAGATCTGCAACAACAAAAAAAGTACAGTTAGGACTTGAGTAGCGGTGAGAGGGGGGAAAAAAATTGAAAAAGCACCAGAACGGGGGTGTGTGTGTGCCGGTGTGTGCGTGTGGCGTAGTTACCGATGCGAGTGCTTTCCCTAAGGCGTCTCCTGTTTGAGAGCTGCTGGCTGCTCCGCTCTGTGCTCGGTTAGCTGTGACACACACACACACACACACACACACACAGGGGAAAAGAGGGATGTATTCTTGTAAATAAGGATGTTGTTAACTACATGTTTAATTATTCAGCCCATCCTTTCCACACCTAAACTGGCAAAACATGTTCATTAAAACGGGGAATTACGCCCTCAGCCTGCAGACAGCTGCAGAGTCGGTCCACCTTAAAATCCACCTCCCTGCTTTGGTGGGTACGTTTGTGATCTGGTTTGACATCAGCCGGAGTGGTATTTCAAATCCTGCCGAACGCTGGTAGCTTTTCTAATGCTTCAAACTGAAAGAGCAGCTTCCCCCTCAGCTGTGAAACTTCATAGGACAACAATATTTGGGCTGTTTCCAAGTGGAGCAGATTGTCCAGCCGAAGCTCTCAGACGAATTCCCTCTAAGTTCTGTTCTTAGCACTGATTTTGCTCTCCAAGGCCAGGCCCTTCGTCCAAAAGAAAATGTGACAAGAACAAGAAACAGACTTTCTTGACAGAAAATCGACATCCATTCAAGGTTTAACTGTGTGACAACATGTGCATATGTGGGCTTTAAATGAGTTTCACACACATACACGGCCAGCGCCAAGGCCAGAGAGGAAGGAAGTGACCTCACAAGAACAGATGAGCGCCCACACACACACTCACACACACACAATTACACGCACACACACACACACACACACACACAGGCTGACGAGCTCCAAGCTCATCTCTCCTGATAGCAGATCCCAGATGGAAAGTTTATGCTCAAACTCTAAAGTCGGACACACACACACACACACACATACACACACACACACACACAGAGTCCAGCAGAAACACATCCTTTCACGGCAAATGAATCCATTACTGAGATTGGCAGGACTGGGCTCCTTTAAGCTGTGAGAGGGGAGAGAGACAGGCAGGTAGAGACAGACATATGCGGCATATGCTTTGGGGTTAAAGCCCCACGTCTCACTCCGGCCACACTATTGGCCCGGCCAGGCATCCCAGGGATTACTGCTCCACACAAACCGGGATCCTCACTTTATGCATAATTGAGAACATGTGCGGGAGAAAATCTTTTTCATAAACGAGAGCTTACGGCCACGAAGGAGGAGAGCACTCAGAGGATGAGCTGATTTTTACTTGTTTATTTGGTTTGCCATTTTGCCGGCCTCCATCTTTGGTGTGTGCCAAACGAATCCCATCAGCATTTTGTTAGTTTATCCGCTGCGTCCCCCCCCACCCCCGTGGGCCGTCTCTGACACAGCCCAGGCATCTGTTTCCCAGGTAAAAGCAGACCTCTGTGCCGGACGGGGTCTGGGGGGGCGCAGGACCCGTGTTAGCCGCCTCAGCTGAAGCCCCACATGAATGTGTAGCTCCTTTGTGCACAGAGGACCTGGAAACACTTTTCCACCGTGTTCATGTGTGTCACGTGCTTTTATTTAAACAACAGCATCGTGTTTTTCATTAGGTTCTTTTGTGTTTACATGCATCTGCTCCGAATCGTGTGTGTGTGTGTGTGGGAGGCATATTGTGGAATTTTGGAGATGATTTCACATGGAAACAAACTTTCAATGTGTTTCTTATTGCTGTCCCATTTGTTCTCTGGGACTCAGAGCCAGGGGTCCATGTGGCTCTCCGTGTGTGACAATAGTCTTGAGTCACGTGCTTAGAGTGTGTTTCTGTCTCCATTTCCCCTGATCTCAGCAGAAACACCTGGACAGAGACTAACATTTTAAGGAAAGGTATCTCCCATTACCAAGATCGAAATATATATTTTTTCTGCTTGTCTTTATTATGAAATGATTCCGCTATTCAAAAAAAGGAGAGCACTGACTGCCAAATTCTTCAGAACTTTGTGGAGCAGCTGCCTGCTTCACCTGGTTAGCAGTCTAACAGAGGGGGGGGGGTATTCCCACCAAAGGTTGACCAGAAAAACCTCCCATCTATTAGGGAGGGAGTGAGGACTCTGTAAGTTCTGGCTTCTGGTAATGGCCTCCTCTTGAGCCCAGTGGGTCAGCTGTTCTTCCCAACAAAACAAATCCTAAGATCTGGTAAAAGAGGGAAGTTAAAAGGCATTTGTGAATTTGAGAATTCAGTTGAGAAAAGACAGGCACCATAAAACCAAACAGCAGAGTTGATTTTAAGCTTACATCCAGCAGAGCTTTTGAAACCAAAAAGAAAAAGATAATGAAGTCATAGGGAAGTATCCCAGTCCTTTAGTCCGGTCGTTAAACGGAAAATACTCATGGTCACCTGAGTCAAACGTTTTCACCTTAAAGAGTTACCGTCAAGTCAGGTGGTCAAGTCTCAAAGTAAGTTCAAGGTCCAGTCGTCTACAGCTCTGAGAATTACCTCACCTAGCTAAAGAAAAAGGGGCTGCTTCTGGGCTTTGACTGAAAACACCACTTAACTGGAACATGAAGCACACTTTGTTTTTAAAGGTTAAAAGCCATCCTCATGCTGAGATAATCCACGTCTGAACGAACCCGAAGCTAATCCTGACGCCGTCGGCCGGACAGAAAACTGAAGGCGACTGTAGCCGGATGCTAGAAATGGTTGCTAGGCAGCAAACAGATGCCACTGGGTCTGGCCTTTTCTGTGAAGCTTACCCATGGCGCTGTCTGTGCCGTTGGTGGAGGCCGTGCAGGAGGCGGTGCTGTAGTGATTGCCCCCGCCGCCGCCCCCGCCGCCGCCCCCCCCTCTGTGGAAACTGGACATGGGGGGGAGGCTGGAGTTGATGTCTGCGGATGAGTGTGAGGGGTAGCTCTGCGGAGAGAGAGAGGACGGGGCGGGTTGGAGCAGAGTTGCAGCCTAGTGACAGATTTATTGCTCTGCGTGTGTGCGGGACATATAAGAGTGCGTCTTGCATCCAGATGTGCAAACACACACACACACACAATTCCCCAAAGTCAGCCGGGTGAGAAGAAGTGGACAGACCCGGCGTGTGAAGCGTTCTCAGATACGTCGAATGGCTCCTGAATGATGTAACTGATGGCTTTTACATGGACTTCCTCCTTTTTTTGGGGGCTCCTGAAATAACCCCCCCCCCGTGTGCAGATGCTCTGAGTGACACCCGGCTCACCAGTCTGTCGTGGGGGTGAATCCCGCAGTAGGAGGAGCTCTGGGGGGGGCCGTGGGCGGAGTTCCCGCCCCCCAGCATGCTGCCGTGGTAACCCTGCTGGCTCATGCTGCTGCTGCTGCTGCTCCAGGGATCGCCGCTGTGGTGACCATCTGATGGACGCACACACACACACACACACACACACAGGGCAGGTTACAACGGACACGTGCACCAGGTATGGATCCACTTCTAGTCTGGCCACAGGAAAAGTTAAGGCGACTACAGCCTCCTCCTGCCTCATTTCGTCCTCACTAGCGATGCCGTCAAGAGCAGGAATTAAGTGGAAAATGCAATTCGTTCCTTGACTGTGTGTAAATATCCGGCGTGGATGTGCTGCTCTGTGGCGGAGAAGAAACATCTGGGGGCTTCTTTCTGTTGTCAGACCCCCCTGTGACTCACACACAGTTTAGTAATATGAGCCACTTTGTGCTCTAACCGGATTTCACAAAGCGTCCATGTAAATGGAACACCTGGCTTCCGTCCTGGGTGATGGGACTAATTCCGTTAACGCAGACCTGTGTGGACAAACCTGATTTCTGTAACGATTTCCACCCTCTGAGATTGTCTCATGCACCTCATAAAATGTATGTTTATGAAATACGCTGAGCAGTGAGGAGAAACCTGACTCCAGCAGCTAAACCCGCGGAGACCCAGCTGTCCATCACATGATAGCGATGAAGAGTGGCCCCGATTCAAAAAGCAAGTCTCCACTTGCTCTGTATCTCCCAAAAGCGTGTCACTTTCAGGTAACCCCCCCCATCCTGGCTGGGGAGTCAGGTTTGTGACAGCTTGTTACTGGAGGAGCTTTTGCTTTGTCTCCGGCTGATCTGATCTGAAGTACAGGGGAGTACAGCTTTGAGGAACCGGAGTCATTTTATCGGGCTGCCTCTGAACCACCAATCAGAGGCCTTCACAGAAGACGAGCTGCACAGCTCGCCGTGTTTTATTGGCGTTTGACACAGCCGATCCTCACGCTGACACCGAACATTTACAACCTCTTTACAGAGGGCTCACACATCCCTTGGACCTGAGCTTGGACACAAATCTTCAGGAAATCCCTCTAATAGCCCTCCGCCTCAGTCTGTGCCCCGCCACACTCACGTCGACTTTTCTTTCTTTAAAGGGGGACCTCTGTCTACCTGTAGGGGATCCATGCTGCTCAGCTACCCAGGAGGCTCACAGAGCTGAGGAATCTGTGGCAGGTGTGTGATGAGAGGTAGAACTTGCCTGCGTGTGTGTGTGTGTGTGTGTGTGTGTGTGTTTGAATACCTGGCATGAAGAAGGAACTTGGGAATCCAGCGCTGGGAGGCTTGGAGGAGGGATACCCCGGCGAGTCCCGGTTGTAGTCGGCTGTACTGGCCGACGGAGCGTACACCTGCAGCACACAGACACACAGAAAAATTAGAACAAAAGTCCAACTTTCCACAGCCTCCATCTCCAATCTCCCATCAGTTCTGATCCCCACAGTCCTCCCTCTCACTCAGACAGCCATGTCAACTCTCCCTCTACACCATCTAATGAAAACTACACACATTTCACACCATCTCTGGCTTCTTTTTTTTTTTTTTTACATAACTTCCTTCCAGACACAGTCTGAGGTGGGAAGGCGATTGGGTGAAAACCGCCCGGGTGAGGGAGCTGAACTGGGTGCAGACCCGGGGCACCAGGTCCCGGGTTCTGGAGCCCACTGGGGCCGGCTCCCTGACAACGGAGAGCAGGTTTGATGTCTTCCTCCTCTCAGGCAGACCGGCGTGCTGCCTGAGAGAACAAAGCGGCTGCTCTCATCTCTCCGAGCAGGAACATGATGTCTGCGTCTGGCCATGCCTTCAGCTGGGGGTCCCTGCAGCATGCCTCTGCACATACGTGCGCATAGCGTGCAAACACTCAGCCATGACACCAGCTCGCACCGCATGACGCGGACCCCGAAACAGCTGTTCAAAGCCCCCCCCCTCACTCTCTCTCCCACACCCATTCCCAACAAAATAAAGGAGGTACACACACACACACGCACACACGCACACACAGTGTAATCTGCCTCCATCCCCAGCAGAAGGCTGCTCTGTTAACTTTAAAGTATTTACATGTGGATGGTCCGCAGATGTGTTCCAAACAAACCTGATGATGAAACACAGAAGGAAAAGAAGACAAAGACCGGGAGAGAAAAAAAGAGGAAAGCACTCGGGGGCATTTTAAAAAGTATCATCTCACTTCCCACACTCCTCCAGAGAAATCATTAAAAACAGAAAACAGCTTAAAAACGGTTTGTTTTTTTCTCCATGCTGGCCGGTTTGTTGAGGCTTTCTGCTTTTATTTCTCATCTCCTTTAACTGGAGGCATCCCAGTCCTGCGTCGGCTTTAAGGCAAAGCCACAAACAAACAAACAAACTGCTCTTTTTGTGGACATGTGGAGCAGAACTTTCAGCTCAGGATGCAGTTTTTTCAGAAACTCGTGATTCATCCTTATTGATAGTACAAACGTGACTTTAATGGAGTATTTGTGGTGGCGCTGACACTTTTAGGGCTTCACAGGCTTACTGGATCTGGCTGAATCTGGAAGAACTGCATCTAAACTCAGCACTTTTCTGATCGTTCTTCTTAGAGGCGTGGCGGGTAAATCTTCTCATAAAAATCTGGAGGAACATTTCCTGCTTCCTAGCGTCCTGACGCCCCGCGGGCTTCTGGGGAACGTTGGGGGGAATTTTCCCTTTACATTAGAAACACACTCAGCTTAAAAGCTTTAATGTTTTTATTCATCTCATGAGCTAAACTATCGGCTTAAAAGGCAGCTTGTTCTTTAATAGCACAGCTCCCAGTAATAATATTAATAACAATAACTCAATTCATTTGGAAGATGGAAAAAAGGTATGGAAAATATGAGCAGTGATTTTACTGACTCCAGTAAAAGTAGACAAAAAACATTTCAATAAATCAAATGAATCCCCTCAATCTGAAAAATGTCAGATTCACAGAACGTTCATTCTTAAAGGTCCACAAATCCCTCAGAAACCACTTAAATCATTAGCCAAGTAGCCAGAAAGGGGAAAAAAAGTTTGACTTCAGCCAACAGGCAAACTTCACAATCACCTACAGAGAATCCAAACTAAAAATATCCAAAGAGGGAATGGTGAGAATGGAAGTAAGAATGTATTGACTCTGATTACTTCCTGAGCGGTGAGGATCACTGGGGAACTGCTGGAGTCAGCTGCCGAATTCAGGAAAAACACACTCACACACACACACACACACACACACACACACACACACACACACACACACAC